CTCGCTCTGTCCGGGCCAGCCGTAAATCAAGCGCTCACCCGTCCGCGCGACTGCCTCGTCCTCGTCAAACTCCGGCAAGTTCTCCTCGACGCACCCCGTGTCCCTATCGCGCGCAGCTGCCACGAACGTTCCCGCCATGGCCAGCTCCAGCATCACCTCGTCCAAGACCGACTCGCGAGAGACGCCGCCCTCCGCGCCGGCGAACTGGCCCTGCACACGGGGTCGCATCCAATCGACAAGGAACTCGACGCGCACGCAGTCCGCCGCCACGCGGTCCCTCTGCACGGACGTCACGGCGTTCTCCTCCCGCGCCGCAGCCAGCAGGCGGCCGAACAGGTCCTCCGTCGTCTCGTCGTCACCAAACTTCAACCCCTCCACCAAGCCCTCCGCCTCCGGCTGCAACCCCGCCCACCATCGCTGCACTGCCCCACCATACTCAAACTGCGCCTTGTCGAGCCACGCACTGAACACGTCGTGATCGACGGCCATGGCTTCATCGTCCACGCCGACGTCGAACTCCCCGTCAGCCGCCGCGTCGGCATCCCCCTCGGCCGCGGCCTCCGCGCCGCCCTCGTCGCCTCCCCGCGCATCGTCGCCCTCGCGGCCAGCAGGCTCGCGCCCGGCGTCGTCGCGGGGCCCGACGAAGTGCACGTCGAAGCCCGCGGCAATGAACTGGCGCGGCGTGACGACGTCGACGCCACAGGGGACGCAATCCCGAGCAATAGCCTCCGCTTCCGTCACGGGCCCAAGCTCCTCCGGCTCCCCGGCCTCGCCCCCCGACGGCAGGACGCCGTCTTCGCTCTCTCTCGGCGCGTAGGACGCGAGGATCTCGTCGTCCGGGAGCACGTCAAACAGGCGCGGGTCGTAGTACTTGTGCATGGGCTCGTCCGCAGTACCCCCCAAGCGCCAGGGCCCATACGTGCCCGCAAACGCACACAACGCCTGGAGCACGTGCCCGCAGTAGCGCCAGCGCACGTGCAGGCCCTCCACGACCTCCTTCCCGAACCCTACATTCCGCCGCAACATCAAGCTGAAGAGCACTTTCCGGGGGTGCCAGGGCAGCACCACCCGCGGCTCCACATGCTCCTGGAGCTCCCTCCCCCTGCCTCCATGATCGTACTCGATGATCACGTCCCCGCTGAGCAGCACCTCCACGACGCGCCCTGGGAAGACCAGGCGCCCGTGCAGGTCCACGCCGAAGCGCTGCCGCTCCTCGTCCGTGCAGCCCGCGGCCATGCGCTCGGGGCGGCGCGGGTCGTCGGGGCGCTCGCCGAGCCCGCGCGCCGAGTTTACGCGGTCCCCCACGCGGAACCCCTTCATGAGCTCGTGGCGCCGCGAGAACCCTGCCACGTCCTGCGGGAACGAGATGATGTTCTTACGGAACTTGCGCAGCCCCGTGCGGGACACCGTGGCCAGGTGCACCTGCATGTGGTCCAGGGCAATGAGCAGGCTCTCCGTGAGCGTAGCCTGGTCGAACAGCTCGCGCAGGTCATCGGACAGGAAGCGGAAGCACGGATCCATGTGGTTCTGCGCGGCACGGAGACCCAGCACCTGATACAGGTCGTCCTCCGTGGCCACGGCCGCGGCCTGCTTGTCCAGGTCCTGCCTGCACCGCATACACATGCCCCTGCACTCCAGAGCGAAGCCGCCCGGCGGGTCGCGCGGCGGCACCTCGTCCCACTCGGCCACCTCCGTGCTGCACGCGGCCAGCCCGTCCCCGCCGCGCCGCAGCAGCAGCATCTCCTCCGCGAGCTGCTCCGGCGGCTCGAAAGCTGGATGGAACGCCGGGAACCGCTCCTGGCACTCGTGGCACGTGAACTTCACCATCCGCGTCAGGATCGCATGCGCCGCCTGCACCGCCCGCACGGACGCGTCGCGCAGCTGCACGTCGTACTTCGCCACGCGCAGCGGCACCGTCTTCAGCGCCAGCAGCATGCACTTCTGGTGAACGTCCCCTGCAGCAACACGCGCTCGTTGGTTTACACGCCCGCCGCAGCGCTCGCGCAAACGCGCCTCCACACGAATCTCCCAATGCTCCGATTCTGGCGCTGATCCAAACACAAACGACTCCGCGACGCCCGGGCCGGCACCTTCCGACGACCTTCCAGGCGCCCATCTGGTCCGAATAACGGCCCGCAAATCATTCCCGTACCGACCGCGCTTCTTCGCTCAGCGCCCACGACCACGACCCGCGCGACCCGCCCCCCGCGCTCCCTGACCGGCCTGCTGCAGCGCGTCGAGCCCCTCCTTCGCAGCGCGCTCGCCCGCGCCGCCCTCGGGCAGTAGCCCCGCCACGCCGGCGTCCTCCTGCAGCTGGCCCACCCAGACGCGCCCGGGATTCTCCCCCTCCTCTGCTCTGCGTTCCCGCGGGCCCAGGCCCCGCCACCACGCCCCCGCCATGTGCGCGGGCTCCGTCCACCCGGCAGGCCGCTCCACAGGCAACACGACCACGTCGTCATCCAGGACCACGTTCGCTGCGAAGCCGGCCGCGACCCGCGACTCGCGCCGCCACAGAGCCTGGAAATCGTCCGCATCGCCCCCGCCCGGCTCATTGCAGCACCGCACCGCCCGCCACTGCGCCCCGCCGCTCTCGGACACGACCGGCGTCTGCAACATGCTACACTCGAAACGCACACGGGGCCACTTCGAGCGACGACGGAAATCCTCCTCCACGGCTACCGCCTCCCAAGACGAACGCTCCGCGCTCGGCCCACGACCGCGCGCGCGATCCTCCAACTCCAGCAGCACGCGCCCGAACCGTCCTGGCCGCCCCGGCTCCATCAGCGCACTCCACAACTTATCGCCGTCCGACCCCTGGATCCGAAAACTACCCCGTTCGCACTGACGGCACGACACCAGGTACTCGCGGACGGCACCGACCAATGCCACCATCCGCTTGTCCTTGAGGTGGGGCACAGACGCAACTGCCCACGCCCGCGCATCCCCACCTCCGGTTCGCGACAATCCCGCGCGGCGCGGCGCGCTCCCGCGCCCTTCCTCGGCCGCTCGCGCCCCCGCCAGGTCTGCCTCCGTCGGCGGCCCAGCACCCGCGAAACGCACCAGCTCCGCATCGAGCGCGCTGCGCACCTCGCGCGGCTGCGGCGCCGCGTCTTCTTCCGAGGCGCACTCATGATCTGACGCAGAACGCTCGTCGTCGCAATCCGAGGCCGATAACTCCGCCATGCCGCCGCAAGCCTCGTCACCACCGCCCTCCTCATCCACGGTTCCGCGGACCGCACCGCCCGCTTCGGCCCATTCTTCGGCGGACGTCTTGCGCTCGAGTCTCCGGCGCCCCCGGCGCGCCTCCGGCACCTCCGCGCCCCCCTCGCCAGCTCGCCCCTCCTCCGCGCCCCCGCGCCCCGCACCGCTCTCAGCGGCCTCTGCCTCGGACGTCTTGCGCCCCAGCCGCCGCTTCCGCGCCGCCGCCACCTCCGCGGCGCCCTCCCCCGCGCGCCCGGCCCCCGCGGCCTCGCGCCCCGCGTCGCCCCCAGCCTCTGCCTCGGACGTCTTGCGCCCCAGCCGCCGCTTCCGCGCCCCGCCGCGCACCGCGGCGGGCTCGGCAGCCTCCGCCTCGGACGTCTTCCGCCCCAGGCGCCGCTTCCGAGCGCCGCCGCGCACCCCCCCCCTACCCCCGCCCTCGTCCGCGCCGCCGCCCTGCTGCATCGCACCCTCCACGGCGTCGCCGCCCCCCCCACCGAGCGCAGCGTCCTGGTCTCTCGACGCACCAGCCGCCGCCGCACACCGATGCGCCGCCCCCCTGCACCACTCCCCCCAATCCAAGTCGGTGTCGCGAACCCTGTTGTACTCATCCCCACGCGCGCGCAGCGCAGGCAGGCAGGAGCAGGCGCCAGCAGTGGCACCGATCGCACTGCGCCCAATTCCGCATAGAACAAGTGCGACGCCCCGTCGTCTGCTCCTCCGCACGCCTCGGGCCCGGCGCCGCCGTCGCCGCCCCCCTGCGGATACTCTCCGGGCGCATGCCCCATTTTCTCGTTCGCGTGCAGCCTGTTCTCCTTCGAACGCGGATCAATGTGCGGAAAGCACTGCGGGCCTGCGCACGGCTTCAGATACTGCTGCTTCATTGGGTACCGCCGGATCTCCTCGCTGGTCAACCGCAACGCCTCCACGCAGTCCTTCTCGCTACATTCCATTTCGGAAGCTTGCAGCTGCCCCAGGTACTTGTTGAAGACCGCCCTGCTGTACCACATGAACACCGTCCCCCCCTGCTGCCCATTGTAGGACTCCCTCTCCGATCCGAACCGAGTAGTTCCCTCCCCGCAGCGATCCTGCAGTGTCCGCACCCCTGCCCCCTTCTCGTATACGAAGCCAGAACGGCCTTTGTCCTTGTTCGTTCTGAGATTGTCATGGACTTGCTTGAGGCACTGCTCGTACTCACTGTTCGTTAACACAAATCGCCCGTGCTCGTCCACCTCACACAAGGACTTCAGCACAGGTTTCATCTTCGACGCCATGTCCCACATCGCGTGCCGCGCGTACCACTGCTTAGATGGCTTGTTCGCCTTGAGCGCGAACTCCTTGAATTTACCCAACGCGCCTGCAGGAATCGGGCCCCTGACGCGCCCGTGCGGGCACCCATATCGAGCACACTTCCCGCACACGTCGCTCCCCGTCTTCGGCCGAAACCCGCACTGCTCTCGCCCCCAGCCCCCCCCCCCACGTCAGCCCTTTGCAGCGGTCCTCGTCCACGTAATCCGGCTGGAACTGCCGGGACTCTGCCTCGGACGCAAGCGCCCCGTCCGCGGCCCCGCGCTTCCGGCGCGCTCTCCGGGCACCGCGCGGACGCGCGGCCGGCCCGCTGCCATCGCTTGCACCATCGTCAGCACCCCCGACGTCCACTGTCACTCCAGGAAGGACAGGCATCTCCTCGCCATCAGAATCGCTCGGCGGCGCCGCGGCCGAAGCCGCGCCCCGAAGAGCGCGCCTCGCAGCCGCTGCCTGCGGTGCGACGGCGTCCGATCGCGCCCGAGCAGCCCCCGCGCCATCCTCTTCCACCGTAACCCCTGGAAGCATCGGCATGTCCTCACCCGAGTCGCTCTCGTCCCCAGACGCACGGCCGCGCGTGGCGACCGCAGCTGCAGGTCGACGAAGCACGGACGCCCCCGCGGCATCGCCCGAATCGGCATCGTCGACGGTGACTCCCGGGATGACTGGCATGTCCTCGCCAGACGACGACGGCGCCCCATCCTCACCGGTCGCGCGTCGCTCCCGCGCTGCAACGCCCGCCATGACGTTCGGGTTCTGCGCACCGCGGAGATGCGCACCTCGCTGGCTTTTCGCGGCGGCCTTCTTTTTCGGCGCACTCCTCTTCGGCGCGCCTGCAATCGACCGCAGCCACGGCGCGGCGCCTGCGTCTCCGAGAGATACGCCAGCGGCCAAGCGACCGTCCACATCAACGACCGTCGCGACATGGCCCTCTGGGTACCGCACAACGCTGCCGATCTCGGCCCCCCCCGCGGAACCCAAAAACCATGCGCCGGAACACTCCCCACGCAGTAAACCATCTGCACTCTCCACCTCATAGACTCGCATCCTCGAACGGCGCACCTCCAGCCAATCCTGCACGATAGCAAAGTTCGCCTTCTCCGCCGCGTCACCGCACGCCCCAGCTCCGGAATCTCTGGCGCACTGCAACTCGAAGAAGCACTCCGCCTGCGCGCGCGCGCCAGCACCCCCACACCGAGCGACACTCAAATGCAGACACTTATTCCGCCACGGCCCCAGGCGATCTCCCGCATCAACAACTCCGAGTCGCCCCGACGCGACGCCACGTCGAAGGCGCCGCCACCACGCGCGGGGCGCGCCAGACCACACAGCAGCACCGAGTCGCCCCACGCGGGAACACACATCGCAGGACAGACCGTCCAGCGCGGCGAAGACACAGGCCACGCGCAGAGCCGCATCGCCAACGCACTGCCCCGCCCTCTGCGACGCCCTCCAGTTAGCGTCCCCCGCGCACTCGTCCGCGCCCCGGCCCGCCCTGGCCCTGGCAGCGCCGATGCCAATGCCGGGGGAGAACCTGCGCGCGCGCACGCGCCGCCCCCCGCACCTCCGCGCGAAGAGCCCACGCAGG